CCTTTGGAAAAATTTTAGGAGACTGTCTTCTCCCGCACCTGAAACGTGTATCAGCTGTAGCAGATCTCATGTCCTCATGAGCTTCATGATTACATTTCCTGAAACGTAAGCTGGGCCTAAGGAAAGGTGGAGTCGCAGCAGCGTTTCCTTGTGCCTGCAGCTTCCTGCCCATAAAAGCAGGGAAATAGCTGTTTGGAAAGAAGAAAGAACAACTTTTGAACTTTCTGTTGTAAAGTCAACAGGTTCTCCCGTTAGCTGTTCAAGAACAAAGCCTGTATTTTCCCCCCTCCCCTTCTTGAGTTTCCTGGTGGCCGTTCTCCAGCATGGCAAAATACCTTGTGCTTGGCCCTGGGCCACAGAACCAGGTTGGGAGCAAGCAGGCCCTTTTCCCCACTGCGGCCAAAGTGTTCTTCTCTTGACCTTTCCTCAGAAGGAGAATTTGTTTATCCAGCTTTTCCACTGACATGCCCGTTAACCATGTTTTAAAGTCTTCTGTTCACACCTCCCCTCAAAGCCTGCCTTTTGTGACCTCCTCCTCCTCCGTTCTCGCTCTGCCATGTCCTGCTGACGATGATCTGAATAATACTGATATCATCCCACTCCGATTTGTTGATGGCATTAAAAAAAAGCCCTGATCTCTAGAACTAGAGGGTATTTGTTGCAATAGCTCACTGTGACAGACTTGTTTGCCCTGAGATGGAAACTGTGAGCTGGTTGAGGAGGAGCCGCTTTCCCAGGTGTCAGCGCTGCAGTTATTAGTGTGTTAGTGGCATAGATGGCTCAGGCCCTTGATCTTGGCTTCACCATCTTCTCAAGTGAGCCCCTCGTGTGCAGGGTGTGAGGAGAACGGCGCTGCTGCAGCATGCGAGGAGGGCAGCGCGGGAGCGAGGGCTCCGCTGAGCCCTCCCCAGCGCCCGTCTCCTTCTTGAAGTGTGGTCAAATCTGAAGCTTGGATAAATTCCAACTTCAGGTTGGAACTCAGCTTGGGAAAGACCCCAAAATCCCTGCTTGCTGCAGCCTTCAGATAGAGATCTAATGGACTAATGGGCTTTTTGATTTATTTTTGAGTGTTTGACATCTTATTGGTGAGGATATTAAAGAGAGATGAAGCTTTATCATGAAGGCCAGTGTATGTAACACTGTTGTGGTCTGTGGTGGTGGTGGTGCTTGGATGCAGCCTAGTCCAACCCCTACCTCTTTGCTCCCCTCCCCAAAATACAGAATTTTGGCCAGCGCAGATGGGATGGGAGTAGATGAAATTAATGATCCTACTGAGCTTCTTCAGAACTGTGTTTTGGCTCCTCTCCCGTTTTCAGTAAAACATGCTCCTATCGAGGGAGTAGCCAGAACTCCACAACCTCTCTGGGCAGCCTGTTCCAGGGCTCTGTTACCCTCACAGTAAAGAAGTTCCTCCTCACATGGAGATTAAACTTCCTATGTTCAGTAGTGTTAATCATGCAAAGTGCAATGAGGTACCCAGTATTGGTGTAAAAATATTTCTTTTGGGCTATTTTGTGAGAAATTAGCTTTTCTTTTGAAAAAGAGCAGTAGTCGTGGAGAAACATTGTGTTTTAGATGGGTTAGCTTTTAGCTCTTGCCATTAGATGCACCTCTGTAAAGCAGCAAACTCTGCATTGGCTGTAAGTGCCTATGAATGCCAATTTATCTCTGCTATGATAATATTCAACATGCTAAGAAAATACATGGGCTTTTAGGCTTAGAGTATATGTATTTTTTAATTATACGAATAATATCTTGTAATGGTCTTTTTATTTTAAATAACATTATAAATGGCTCAAGCACTTGCAACCTTTAAAAAGGCAAATTTGATTTGAAAAATAAATAATTGTGCTTGTTGGTTTTTTTGTTTGTGTAAATTTTTGGACTTCTTTTGAAGAGCATATGTGGTAGAGAAGGGGCTTTTTTTCCTTTGGAAAGTTTCAAATGTGACGTCAGTACCTGACCCAATCCGAAAGAGATCCCGTAACTTCTCCGAAGCATTTAGGGAACCGTGCCTTCCCCAGCAAGGAACTTACCCTCATAATCTGTATTTGCTTCAGATGACTCTCTTATCTTTTTAAACAACATCTTTTTTGTTCTAGCTATCCGTAGTCAGGGAAACTGGCTGTCAGGAATGTGCTGTATCAGAGGAGCCTGTGTATTACATGATGCTTCCAAGATTAAAATTGTTACTGTACCATATTTTAAGATTTCCAATCAAGGAGAATGAATCCAAGCAAAAATGGCTGAGGTTGGTAGAGTCACAACCACATACACACTGACCATTTCTAACATAAAACCTGAAGTGGGGCCTGGTAGAAAGTAGCTACTTTTCTTGATATGAGCAGGTTTTGGGGTGTGCGTGTGTGTGTATATACACATGTATTTGTGTGTGTGTGTTGCCTAATATATATTGCTTAGACTAATATTCACCTCCTGGGTTTGGCTGCAGGAGAAGATGGAATTGCACATGGCGAAGGGCCTGCACGTAGATACCGGCTTCTGCTCATGCAGGGCTCATGACCGAACTTGCCCCAGGCTTGAGAAATATCAGCAATGCTCATGGGGCAAAAAACTGCCTGTCACTTTCTTTGCTGAGCACGTGGCTTGCTCTCCCGACCCTGTACTTCCCTAGGAACTGCTGCTTAGTTTCCGGTTCCAATTTTAAGCAAAGTGGAGATAAATGTACTCGAAAAGCAGGGCATTTGCCCTTGCAAGCAGTGTTTCCCAGCTTTGTGTTAGATTGAGAGCATTTCAGGTTCACATCCAAGTACTGTGATATAACGAGGCTCCTAACGTTACCGGAGTGTCACATTGCTAACTGGATGAGTAACTGGGGCTTCCGAAAACACTTCACCTTCTTTTCAAGGCATACTAATTAGATTTCTAGATAATATCTTGTGTAAGCTTGTTTCCTAATGGCATGGTAAAACCATGTCTGCTAAAAGCTAGATTTTGATGTGGGGGTTACAAAGAGAGTGCTAATCCATTTTACTTCATTAAGTCCCCTATCTCTCCAAATAACCAGTTTTCAAAGATCACGTTCTTTCTGCAGGCTACAGGAGCTTATTATTTGTTTTTGATTCTTAAATCTTGTTTAATTGAAAGTTCCAAACTGAAATGGATGTGAAATGTTGTTTAAAGTCACACAAGGAATTGCTTTTAAAATACATCAGAATGTGAGAAAGACCATAAATCTGCCTCCAACCTGCTATGTCTTTGGGGGTAAAGTCCGACGCCGGTGTCGGGTTTTATTCCTCATACACTTGGTTTTCAGACTCCAAACAGACGACTGACTCTTTAAAACTGGGTCGTGTGCCAGTAGTTAAAGTACAGCCATATAGGGTATGGCAAGCTTTGTAACCAGGGGTTTTCAGAGGTGAGATCATGATAAACTTAACATTGCTGCTTAAATTTCATTTAATGGCACCAACAGAGAGGTTCCTTTTTCTAGCCCTCATTTCACAGTACCTGCCCGTAGGCCATGTCCAGGTTGGCTGTGTTGGAAGGAAAGCAACATGTTAAAAGGACTAGAGAAGTGGGTCATGGTGCGATCATGGTGCATAAAATCACAGAGATGGGGGTAAACTCAGTGTGCGATGCAGGGGCACCACGTGCTGTTGGTTTAGAAGAAGGGGGCCTTGTCTCTGCCATACCCGGGTGGCCGTTTGTGGAGGGACATTCGCAGTGTCTTCACCTGGGCACAGGCTCATCCTGGGCTGGAGGCAGCAGTTGCCCTTGCTCTCGAGCTGGCACGGGGGCAAAGTGTTTGTTTCAAAAAAATTTGATTGCAAGGTTTCGACTGCTGTCCTGTTGGAGTGCTGGTGGGCTGTAAGGAAACCAAAGCCTTCCTTCTTGGGGAAGGAGCAGGAACTTCCTTGGGACCAGAGGGCCCTCTCTGCCTTCTTCCTCTTGTCTTCTCTGCTCCCCAAATTTTGTTTTTTTTATGGCTATGATAGCACTCTTAGTTATGTCATGTTTGCATTAAAGAAAGGATTTAAATAAGACACATTAGCTGTCTTGTTTGCTGTGTGTGTGTGTATATATATATATATAGAGAGAGAGAGACAGAGAGAGAGAGAGAGAGAGAGATTAGGCTGAATTTCTCGTTTGTCAAAGTCTCGGCACTTCACATGAAAAACGCTTCCCGGTCCCTACTCGGAGCAGGATCAGTCCTTCTTCGTTGATGTGACTGAATCAAGGGTCACTTTGTCTGGGATGAGTATGGAGTGTGAGGGCAGAGGTAGGAGCAGACAGTGCTTAAAAGTTGACACGAAGCTCTCTGGGTCTTCAATTTCTTAGATTTCTTACCAAAACACTTTCATAGGTTTCTTTTAGCCTTATCTTTACTAGATATCTAGAAGTTTTATAGGAGCAGGAGGTTAGAGAGAGGAGAGAGGCCTTTGTGTATCTCTCCTGAATTAAAAGACTGTAGTAGCAGCCTGGGGGAGCCAGGCATCCCTCCTGAGGAAAACAGTATTTCCTTGGGATTCTTGTGCGACCCTTCGCTAGCCTGGCCCCCAGCAGCTTGCTAGCTGCCTGGGGCTGGGCTTTGGCAACAACCTCATAGAAGTGCCAGATGTGGCGTGAGATTCTCCTTCTTTGAGACCACAACTTGATTTGCAGTTAATTTAATTTGTAATTTGTTTTAGCTGTGGTCCTTGAGGATTTGTAGTGAACCCTCCTGTGAGGGCCTTGGACTGTCCATAAATATAAAAAGAGCGTCTTTTCTCTAAAAGTGTACGATAAAATAAATGACGTGTGGAGAAGGGGGACAGAGCAAGTAAGAGGGGAAAATTATTTTGTTCTTTTTGTGGAGAGGAAGCTCATGTGTGAAGAGCTATTGCCTTGAGAGTTTAAATGAAAGACCAGCTACCCCCCTGGGGAAGGGAAAGTCCTTGCCTCATTTCCCTCTCTCTGGCAGCTGTTGCTTAGGAATTTCATGTGCGAATCCAATGGTGCTCTGGGTGACCTGGGGAATGGTTTTAATACAAATGGTCATGGGTGGCGTGTGCTCTGTGTGTTGGAAAGTACAGCATGACTTTCACAGGAAGGCAATAGTTTTGACTAGAGCTGGTGTTTTGGACCTGAAGGTAGCACCCACACCGATTCTGAGGCACTCGGCTGCCTTTTGAAGATTATTTTTGTCTTCCACATCTGTGCTGAGCTGAGGAAATGCCAGATAACATGAGAACGGGGAATGGAAGGAGAGCAGGAGTTCTGCTGAGGAAAATGCACGTTCTTCACCAGGCTGGGAGGCGGGAAAGGTGACGTGGTGGCGGCCTGCGCTGAGCGTGTCCTCTGGTGCCTCCTCTAGTGCTTGCCCATGGGGAAGCCTCCCCAGGCTTGGGTTTTGTGTTTTGAACAAAGCAACACGGAAATGTTTTGAGTGCTGGAGAAACTTCTGTTCTCCAGTGTCAAAAGTGCCCTTCCTGCGTGTAGCAGCACCTGGGACGTGTCTGAGGGAAGGAGGGTGCAGCACGGATACCTCCCTCTCCTGCCACAGTGTGAGTTGGGATCTGCGCTTAGGAAACTCGGCAGCAGCACTAACTTCTGAAGAAAGAGCGTTGCAAAGTCCGTATGTTGCGTATTGTGCAAGGCCCCCACGCTGGGCACTTCCCGGGGAGCTGGGATGTGAATCTGCTGCCTCTGAGCTGGCGTGGGGAGGACTTGGTGGCTGCACGTACAGCGCATCCTGGTGCGCGCCGGCGGTGGGAGCAGCGCCCAGGTGCGTGGAGCGGCGCCCAGGAGGTGACGCAGCGGAGTTCGGTCGGCCGAGCCTGAGCAGGGCTAGCAGGGCACCTCCCTCAGCGGGTCCTGTTAGGAGGTGACTGGTGGGATAGGAGCGAAGAGAACCGTGAGAAACAAGGTTTTTGTGAAATTTCCCTCTCGCCCGTCTTTTAAGCACACTGGTCAAAGAGGATTCATTAACTCGTTTTGACTCTGAATATGACTGGATCAAGCTGTGATGGCAAAAGTATTCTTGAGGAAAATTGTATGCCGTCTTATCAGGAAGTTCATTTGTGTGCTGGAAAAGAGTAATTCGGAAAACTAAAACACCCGGGTGCCTCGAATCTGGGCCTGTTATCTGAGAGCATGACGTTTACCAAGAGCAACTGGCTTAGTGACTCATCGTGGTCTGAGTTCTCTTGTTCGTAACAGAGTCAGGGAGGTATTTCCTGCCTGGCTGTGTCCCCTGACAGCAGCCACGTGGGATTTAGGCGCTTCAGTCCACGTGAGAGCAGCGGGATTCTCTGCAGGCCCAGGTGTCTGCCGGCCAGGGCTTCGCTTGGCTTGGCTGGAGCATGTCCTTGGTGTGTGTGTGTGTGTGCAGCTGGAGTTTCCCTCGCCCCCCTTTTCGGTTGGTTTGCATACTCTTCATGCTATTAAAATAATGTGCGAGGCTCTGTTGGTTAAAGAATGAGTTATAGCTGCATCTGTTGCCGGTGTGCTACAGACTGCAGTTCTCTAAGCTGTTGCATAAACTGGGGTCTGCGTTTTCTGTGTGCTAGATTGGACTTTGCCAGAATTCCCTGGCCCCTGCTGTTGATGCAGGATGCTAGAAATTCCACCAGTGCTTTCAGTGAGCAGTCACATCTGGCTGCAGGAGGGGGTGATGCACGCCACAGAGGTACCTGCACCAACCGAGAGGTTGCCCAGCAGAAATAAACTGTCTTGGGCGTCGTGCTTGCGCTTCACCTGTAGCTCCTGCCTCCCCGGCAGCCCGCTGGCCTGGCTGGATCGCAGCAGGTTGTGTCTGTTCTCACCTAGGTTAGTGGTTCCTGTTGATGGCAGTGGATGCTGTGGGTGACCTCAGTCCTCATGATGACAGTCAGCAGGGTGTGACAGTGAGTGGAGCCATTCTGCTACTGCAAGTGAGGTGTTGTTATTGGGAGTTCAGCATCAGTAGTAGGAGCAGATGGGAGAGGCACAAACTCCCCGACTTGCTCAAGCCTCCGGAGAAGAGTTTTGGCTGGTATTTGTGTGGCAGGGCTTGGCTGCAGCCATAAAGACCAGGGCCTTTCCAGGTAGGAGCTGGGTTTCCTCAGCGTGATCCTACCCATTCCTGTGGGCAGTGCGTGTCTGCTGGCGTCCGCTGCTGAGGTCCCCTCAAACACCCCCCATTATCTGAAGTAGCATTTAGAGTGTTCCTGCTTCTGGGCTCTTACTGGGGATATTTTAAGCGTGAAAGCAACAACAGCATTTAATTTTGGAGAAAATACTGTTTGGCTTGGTTTCTCTGTGCCTTTTTTCTTTCTATCTATTCAGCTGGCCCCAGATAGAGTGCTGCAAAGCTATGGGAGCCTCTGAGGAGATGAAGTGAAAAGTTCAGATGAAGCTGTGTTTGTGGCTACTGTGGTAGTGCTGGGGAGTGGGGAGAAAAGAAGAATAAGAAAGCTTAATTTCTCTAGGGAGAAAGAAGACTGAGATTCTTAGTGATCTGATCTTTTCTGAAAGATTGGCAACGTAGGTTTGTGGTGGGGCTGGCTGCTGTGCAGGATGCTCTGGAGTCGCAGGAAGAGTTGTGCTTGCGGGGTTGTGTTTCACAGGTCGTCCTGCTTGCCTGTGTTTCCTAGTCTGTGGCGTAGAGCAGAGCATTCTGCATGCAAGACAAACACACACAAACAAAAAACCCGTATTTGAGCCCAGATGGGAATTCGGGTTTTCTGGCCTCCAGCTCCCCATGCAGACCACGCCTGCCTTTTTATAGCTCTGGGAAAGTGAGCTCTAGCGTATCATTTAGCAAACTACCATATAGGAAAAGCAAATCTAAGCCAAAAAGAGCTAAAACTAGCTGAGTTTAAATTAGGAGACCAAAGCAATTTTTGCAAATTCTTTCCGACAAATGGAAGCTAACGGCTCCACCTGGGATGCAGATCCCGCAGGCTTTGGGGTCGGCTCTGGTGGCCCGAAAGGCCTTTGGGGTGCGCTGAGAGCTGCACAGTCCTCGCTGTGGTTTTGGAGAGGCTGCTGCAGCCAAGGAAATCCTTTCTTAGGATGAGCTCCACTAGGATGTGCTTGTAATGACAGGCTGAAGTGCTGTCACTTGGCAGTGTCTCCTACAGCCAATGCGTATCCCTGTGTTCACATGTACCCTGAAGGCTTCGAGCCTCCCGAGTCTCCCCTTCTAAGCGGTGTCTTAAATCATTAAAGCTGAGAGCTAAAGCTCTTTCCTACTATATAAGGCATTTGTGCTAGTGGTAGAAATCAGAGTGTATTTATAACGCAAGTTTGCTGGAGTAATGTGGATTGGGAACAAATGTTTGTTTGGATAAAGTCCAGCTCCAGGGACTGGTTTTACTGCTGCATGTAAAATCTGTAGCAAGCTCATAAAAGCAGCCGCTGAAAAATCCGTTAGGGTCTTCCTTGTTGAAAAAACATGAATTTGGTGTGATGTGGTGTGGCTAGAGACATGACTTGTGAGGGTTCCCGTAGCAGTCGGTGACCCTGTGTGTAACGAGCTGTCGTGCTGGAATGGAGAGATGCTCCTGCATTGCTGGCGTGCTTGGAGATTACTGGTGTCACTTGTTAATATGTGCTGCTATTCTGGTGTCTGTTCTTTGTCTGGTTAGAAATACTTGACTGTTTGTGCCCTAAGTAATTCTTCCTAAAATTTGTAACCATATTCTTAACAATATTGAGCAGCAGTGGCACGAGCAAACCCTGCCATGAAATGAGCTGTGTTGTTTTATAAACTGCTGATAAATATTTGAACAAAAACAGTTGGCAAAAAAATGACACAAGTGTTTTGAGTGTGTTGATTCAACTGCCTCCATTTGGTTCCAGTGTTTCCTTAGACTTGTCTGGCTTGTTAATCCATTCCATTGCTGAACAGATGATTATTGTATGTCGAGCCTCTGTGAAATAATGATCATTTGCACTAAGAATGCTCATGTTCAAAGCCACATGAATTGGTTTTTATTTTGTTTTCTAAGACTGCTGTCTTTGTTGTTGTTGAAGGATGTTCAGAAGGAGAGAGAACCTCATGTTTATCTCAGTAAAGAAGAAGTTAAAGAGAAGATACAAAGCTATAACTCATCTGTCACTGATAAATTAAAGATGACCTTGGTAAGATTTGCATGGAAGTCCTGTGATTTATAGTAGGAACATTGACATGTAGTCCTTTGTAGTGCATGAATCATTTTATTCTTAGCATCTTTCATATATACTGTCTGTAGGTTAATGACTTTGCAGGCTCTTTTTTAGATCTGCAAGTTAAATCTTGGATCTGAAATATTTGTAATCCATTTAGTTTTTTTATATGGAATTAATGAAACTAGGAGGAACAAATCCATATATGATTTGAAATGCTAATGCACTTAAATCCACAGTTGACGCTAAAATATGACTTAGCTGATAAATATGAAGTTATCTTTACCTTTTGGATAAATGAATGCTTGTCAAGTATTTCTCTCATAAAGATGTTCAAGTGATGAGAAAATTTTAAGCATACAATATTTACTATAGGAGGCTTAATTTGCAGAAGTCTTGCAGCTTTTCAGCATGATGAGAGTTTTTTCCCCTGCGCCCCTCCTGCATAAGGCACACAATGGAATGTGTGTGTGGAGATTTTTCTGATGATTGTGGACCAGGTCTGGGACTTATTTGAGCCAGACCTGCTCCTGCTCATTCTAATAAAATTCACATGCACCTACCTACCAAACTGGCATAGAGTAGATTTTTCTGATGCTGCAGGTATAAGCAAATTTTAAAAATACATTATGTCCTAAACCATCTGGGAATGACTATCTACTGAACAGGTCTTTGCTATGTATTTTCTTATGGTCAGGGCTATCCAGAGTGCCTAATGTCCTCTAGCTCAGTAATGTTTCTGTGATTTTCTTTTTTGAGACAGTTGATACATGATAACTGGTCACTATTAATTTTAACTGTTTGACACTTGTCTTCCTACTGCAGAACTCAAATGGGATTTACACTGGCTTCATCAAAGTTCAGATGGAACTATGCAGACCTATCACTGTGCAGTCTCCCCTGAACCCAGGAAAATGTGCTCACAGCAATAACGAGACTGCTTTTTACTTGCCAAACGGCTACGTGAATACACTTCACATCAGCAGCACCAATACTGTCCGTGAAGTTATTGAGGCCTTGCTCAAGAAGTTTTTGGTGGCTGACAACCCTGCAAAGTTTGCACTTTATAAGCGCTGTCACAAGGAAGACCAAGGTAGAGGATAAATTGTGGCGTTTTGCAGGTGGAGTGGTGAGAATTGGGAGCTGTGTTATGGGAATGCTTGAAATAAGCAGGGCAGGAATTTGGGTTAAAGATGGGACAGTCTTGCTCTCTTCTCTCATTTTCAAGCTGTGTCATCACTTTATAGTGAAAAGTAGTGTGAGGATAAGTGCAAATGAATGGGGGATATTTCACAGAGCTGAAAGCAGGAGTGACCATTAAATCATCTACACTGATCTCCTGTGCCTTGCAATCTGTTATATTTTGCTTTAGACACCTCCCCGTGTTGAGCCCTAAGACTTGGGATGGACTAACACACTGCACGTTTGTGGGATTCAATCACAGGACAGATTAGAAAGAGAAACTCGTGTTGCTTATCCCTGAAATCTGTGCGCTGGTGGGCAGCCCTTGGTGGGCAGGCACACAGGCCTGTGCCCGACCTTCACGTGCTGCTCCCAATGCTGCTCGGTGCCTGCTGCTGTCCCTGTGCTGGCTGGGCTCGAGTTTGGTATGGCTGAAAATACCATAAGGTGCAAAAAATACTAAGTTAGTAAAAAGTGCTTCTTCAGTGGGCACTGGCAGCAGTCAGCTGCTAAACATTTCTGGCTTTTAGTCCTGCCAGTCACAAAAGGCAGGCAGAGCTCTCCTCTAAACTTTGTATATGGGATCTCCAGTGAACAGGTTCCAGAGTGGTGGTGCTGTAACTTTGATCTTTCAAACGCTTATTTATAGCAACAGATGTGTTGTATTTTCTTCTCTTTCCTTCCTGTGTTAGATATCATGCTGCATGGACTACGAGTCATTCCATTCGTATTTGAACATGCTGTTGCCTTCCACTGTTGCGCTCAGCTTCCCTCCAAACAAATTTCCGAATATTTGTCTTCAAACCTTTACATGAACGCAGAGTTCATGTAAATTTTGTGGCTACAGATGCAGGTCTTTTAAAATTTTGAACATTAGCCAGTATTAGCCACTCCAAACACTTGAAACATCTGGTTTCTGGGGATGGCAGTAACTGTCCTCCTTTCCCTGCAGTTTATACATGCAAGCTGTCAGACCGAGAGCATCCGCTCTACCTGCGCTTGGTGGCAGGGCCCCAAACAGAGATGCTCAGCTTTGTTCTACGTGAGCATGAAACTGGAGAAGTTATGGTAGGTTACACTCCCGGTTTGCTTGTTCTGGGGGAAGGAGGTTGTTTCCAGTCACGGGTGAAGGGGCTGCTCTGTGATCCGTGCTGAATGAGGGTCCATTTTTGCACACTTACACAGCATACGCAACGGGAACGCCTCAACCAAAAGCAACAATAAATCTGCTTGAAGATTACTTTCAAATTCTCAACGTGTCCTGTTTGGTTAGTTATTTATTTTGAAATAAATATATGAAAAACTATGCACAAAACTGTTTATTGAATTTTTTCCCTTATAAATGCCTCTACCCCAGTTACCTGTAAAATGCCTGTTGAATCAAACATGTAACTTGGATCACAAAGATGCTAATGACATTGCGTGTTAGGATTAATTTAAAATAATAAAAATAAAATAATAAGGAAAACTTGATACAAAAGCTACTCGATATTTAATGCTTGAAGTCGGAATGGTTAAGAAAGGTGTAATTTACTGTGAGAGGAATATTACATCCTTTCTGTTTCAGTAGTTTTCTCAGAACGTGATAGAAGAGAAACTTTTATGAAATGTGGCCAGGTTGCAGGTTTTGTAGGAAATTTTGTTTTCCAAACACTGCTATGTTTGTTGTCCGATAGTTGACTGTTACAGACAGTATAGGACCATGGTTACTTGTGCGCAAATGAAACTCCTCACAAGGTTCAAGGCTGTTTCCTGCTTTTGATATTAAGGAGTTCATCAATTTAAAAATTGCCTGCTCAATAACTGTTCTGTGTAGTACATTAAAATTTTGGAAGATTTCTTTTTTTCTTCTCACAGTGTTTATTTTGTGCCTTTTGTAAACCCTTTATCTGCAGTTAGATTGACCCAGTGTTACAGAACAAAAACCAATTTAAAAGAGAAAACATGTTTTAAGGTCTTTGAGATTTTCAAGGAGGGAGATGCCTGATGCTGTTTCAGTTCTGCACTGAGTGGCTAGCTTTTTGTTTAAACAAATACTTTGTACTGTGTGTATAAATTACTCTTGTATTTCTTGCTGACCTCATTTGTCCTTTTTTTATTTTTTTTCCTCCTTTTTCTTTCCAGTGGGAAGCTTTTAGTCTGCCCGAGCTACAGAACTTCTTGCGCATACTGGACAAGGAGGAGGACGAGCAGCTGCAGATGCTGAGGAAGCGCTATGCAGCTTACAGAGACAAACTTGAAGAAGCCCTTGGAGGGGTGTGGAAGCCTGGTTAAAAGGGGGCCAAAGCACACTCAGGAAAATGCACGCTACCAAATGCCATATAGCATGCCAAACCCAGTGTACAAAGAGCAGTAAAGAGTAGTTTTCTTTATTCGGAAGACTGTTTTGTGATGCTAGGGTACCTGAATTTTGCTATAGACTTAGTTCCATAAGCCAGGTCACTTAGCATCTTGCACCCATGAGTAAGGGATTCTGCATGTTTGTACATCAGTTTGCAACCCTCTATGTGCCTAGAGAGTTTCCCAAGTTACCTTGGTGCAGGCTGTGAAACTGTAATCAATTTTCTAGGATGCTATGAAATAAGATTTTTTTTTTCTTCTTTGCTTTAATGGTAGCTTCACAAGTAAGGATGTGCAAATTGATCAGCTAAAATGAATAAAATTGTCAGGATGAGAATCAGTTGGAGCACTATCTTTGAGGTAAATTTGATTTGCACTACCTTTCTGTTTTCAGATAGTTACTGTATAATTTTTGAGAAAACTGTTATAGGTGGGAAACATGTGAGATTTTTATGGCTTAGTCTGTGAAATTTTTGAAAGGCTTTAAATCCTGCAGAGGGTAAAGAGAAAGTTGAAAAGAAGGTGAGAGCTGAGGAAGGACTGCAAGAGCTTACAAAGAAGGACTGGTTTTAAATGGAAATAGTATTTATACAGAGGAAAGTTAGAATACTAATTTTACAAGAGTAAAGTTTTAGGATGTTTTAATATTATGAATAAGTGTTTTTTTTTTTTTTCATAAATCCACACTGGAAAAGTAATAATTAATAGACATAGTGGGAAGGAAAGAAAGGGGAGAACTAAGGGAGAATGGGAGTGGAGCGGCACGTACAGGTGTACGTTGGAGAAGCCGTTTCCTAAATGCAAGGAGGGGGAGCCAAGTGCAGCGCTACCAGCAAGTGGCTGTTTACTTGAATTCCGAAATACGGACGATACGGAGTCACGGGTAACTCCGTGAGAAGTACCCAGCTCGTGGGAAGGTTTGGGTCAAACTGTAACTGCAGACGTGTTGGTCGTCGTGGCAAGTCAGAGCTTTCCTCTGGCTCTGTGATCCCTTTTTAGGCTGGACAAATTCAAGCTACCGTCTTTGAAAGACAAAAATATCTTCCTCTGCTTCCTTGTTTGCGAAAGGCTCAGTCAGGCAAAGAAAGTAGAATTTTTTTATTCATGTTCCCAGCTTAGCATGAAATTAGAATTTGTTAGCTGTGTTGGTGACTGAGCTTAGTAAGTTTTGCTTTTAGTAATTCAGACTTTTTTCCTAATGGTTTTAAAATTCTTATTTGAACGACTGATTACCAAATTCTCTAGACTGCTGATTTACTTGATTTAAAAGTAGGAAAAATGTAGCAAGAAAAAGAAACTTTTTACTTCTCTGTAAATGTAATTGTTGTTATTTCAGAGTTATTTATCTAAAGAAGCACGTTCAAAGGAAACCAAAGAAGTGGGTGTGCAATAGAAGCATGAGGCAGATCTGAGTAACTGATACCTTTAGTCATTATGCCAGAAAGGAAACTAATGAGTTAAAAAGAAATAGTGCTAAAGATTTAAGAGCAGCAGATTTTTTTTTCAGTCTTAGTAAGTTCTTTGTAAGTTCCCAAGGAATTGTTGACACTTTGGTGACATCTAATGGATACTGTATGAAACTCCGAGGTGCTTCTGTTCTTCCTCTTAATTTGATGTAATTGTGCCTTTGTTTCCTTTTCTCAGTAACAGACTTTAAAAAACAAAACAAACAAACAAACAAAAAACTTCAGTTATGTTTCTCTTCTGCAGAAAGAAATTGAAAACTTAATGAGACAATCATAATGTGCTAAGAGAAATTAAGAGTAGAACTAACTATAAAGTATATATATGGCATATCTTGTTTGTTTTTTAATGTCACATGTAACATTGTAATGCATGTGTGAATTAGTAACATTATCTTCAAGTGAGACACTTTATAATGGTTCAGGGAATGCTTTTATATTTTGTTAAGAGTTCGGTTTTTTCTATGAATACAACAGCATGTTGATGGGTATTCTGTTAAGATCTACTTAATTTATGTATCTGCCCATAACTATGTTATCATTGCATTATCGCTGTTAATATTGAACCATTTGTTGCTCAGATTTAAACACTGTTTGAGTCTAAAAGTGGAGTATATTAATATGTGAATTTTGTTTTTACTTGAACTAAACTATCAGTCTTTTTAAGTGGGCACATTTGCATTTACTTTAGCCAAAAACCTCAATCAGTGTTGTATGCACTACAGGTTTTGATTGGAGGGGGGAATGACCAAAACAAACTTACTATATTTTAATTTTCTTAGTCGACACTTAATTAGTGTAACCTGTCATGTGTGAGGTTTATTATTACTATTTTTTTTACACACTGGCGATTACAACAGCTTCAGTTTAAAAGTGGTCATGCCTGACCAATTTTTCTCTTTTTAAGTTTAGCATCAAATTAAACTACGAAAGCTGTGTTGCAAAGCTGTTTTCATTTCATTGTACGATGGTACCAGAATGATTAAATGATATGGGGGAAACGCAGGGAAACATGAAAATGTATGTCTTTTAAAAAAACAAGCAAACATTAAACTATTTATAATTTTGACAAGTTTAGTTTTTATTTTTGTAGGGAAGATTGTCTTCCCCTTAAAGTTATTACTGAAAGGGCAAGTGATGGTTTCATTATTAAAGTTGAAGTTGGCAGTACGTAGCTGTGTGGTGTGTTTTTCTTTTTCCTGCTCCCCGGGGTTGCCTGAAGTTCATGTTGCCTCGAAACCGGCGCATGAAACCACCTTGTCCCTGCCAGCCTGGGCTATAACCCTCAGGAAGTCTCCCGCGCTGAATGGAGAGGAGCCCATCATTTATTTTAGTAATTTATCCCAGCGTCGGTTTATTAATGCAAAATACAAAATAAAAGCAGGAGCGTGGAAAAAAGCCCGCTTTTCCCCCGCGCTTTTCCCCCTCGCGCCG